AGATGGAGGAGAAGGTGGTTGGTGGTAAAGAGAAGAAGTATGTGTTGTACACGGTGGTGGGCGAGGAGCGCGGGCGCGCCGGCGTGGGCGTGTGGGTAGTGAGGGTGCTCCTGGGCACCCTCCTGCTGGTGGCGCTGGCTGTCGTGCCGTACCTCTCCTTGCGGCTGGCGCAAGTCACCGACCGCACCCTGGTGGTGTTCCAGCCCGTGCCCGTCCGCAACCACTCCCTCCACCACCACCACGCCGTGGACCACGGCAAGATCAGCCATGTGGACGTCGTGAGCTTCCCCGTAAGTGCCTCGCTCACCAAGGAGAATGCCACGGCGGAGGCAGCCAACGCCACCACCAAGGCCTCGGCCACCAACTCCAGCAGCAGCAACAGCTCCGGCAGCGGCAGCGGCATCGTCACCCTGCACGAGTCCGCCGTGACCCTTGCCGTCATGGAGGACACCAATGCCACGCGGAAGCGCGGCAATGAGTCCGAGGTGGAGGAGGCCGCGGTCGAGGAGGACGCAGGGCCGAAGGCGGGCGTCGAGGAGGACAAGAAGGAGCCCGAAGAGAACGCCACCACAGAAGACGCCGCCAGCACGTCGGAGGCTCCGGCCTCGATAGCGCAGGTGGCGGCCGTGACGGACCAGGCCAGCCCCTCCACGCCCCCGGCCGTCGTCGAGAACAACACTGGCGTCGTGAACACGTCGCCCGCTCCCCACCACGAGAGCAACGCCTCGTCCGCCGCCCCCGTGGCTTCGACCGTCGCCGTGGTCGCGTCAACGTCTCCGGCCTCGACGCCCCAGACGCCGGCCAACACGACCGGCAAGGCCGCGGCGCCCAGCGCGAGCAACGTGTCGACGACGCCCTCCACCACTACCCCGAAGACGACCACGAGCCCCACCACCACCAGCTCCACCAGCAGTCGCCGGCCGCTCGCCCACAAGTTGGTGTACATGTCCACCTCCGCCTCCGGCAACCACGTGGGCGGATTCTGCGTGTGGAAGACCGACAAGAACGTGACGCGCTGGTCCTACTTCTACGAAAACATTCCGATCGAGTACCAGAGCCACCAGGACTCCTCCGACCACGAGATGCGAGGGATGCTGGCCGCCGTGCGGACGTGGGCGCCCCTGTGGAACGACCACCACGTCGTGCTGCGCTCCCACCACCCAGCCATCAACGGCGCCGACCACCCCACGCGCCGCGCCCTCACCCGCGAGCTCGAGCGCCTCTCCAACGGGCGCTTCACCTACGAGCTGGAGTGGCGCCTCAAGAAGACCGACCGCGTGGTGGACATCGCCTACTGCCTGTCCCGCCTCCACCGCGACTTCGCCCACTGGTTCCGCACCTTCGAGGGCCGCGTCGACGAGCTGCTCGGCCGCCAGGTGTGGGCAACGGCCAGGATCAAGAACCGCACGCCCATCGAGCAGGACGCGTTCCTCACCGACGACCCCGAGGACGAGGAAATCCGCGGCGACAAATGAGGGACCAGCACGGCGATGCTAAGAAACTACCAAAGTGGACTCCAAAAAAATCATAGATTTAACATGAAAAAAGAAAAAGAAAAAAAAAAGTAGCAAAACGTGACTTCGCAATAAAAGTGGTCGGGTCAGAGTGTACAAGTTGAATGAAATCATAGACCCCAAAGAAATGCAAAATGAAATACCTTATCCCATGTGATACCTGCGCTGCGTTGGGAAGGTTAGCGAAGGAAACGAGCCAAGAGATCCATCTGTCTCCAGGGCCGTGATCGCCAAAAAGGACCTTGTGGTTAGCTCTGAATTCCAAGTCTACAGCTCCCTGGGCAAGAAAATGAAGTGCGATCTGGAAGCCGCTGAAGTGAATATAGTGCATTGACTACTAGTTGATGATTTTTTAAATATATATATATCTAGCATGAAAAGATAAAGGTGGCATGGTTACCAATTAGTGTTTTTTAAAGTGCTTTTATTGGAAAGTTTAATGGAAAATAAGATATTAACCAAAGGCAAAAACATGCGCTAAAATACAAATATATATATTTGCTGGCATGCTAAAGTAAAAAAAGATATGCATAGTATGTATTTATGAAACATAAGAATCTAGATCTCAAGTGAAATAAGATAGAGAATGAGTATTAACATAAGATGATAATGACAAACTGAAGAGACGTAAAAGATGCTTTGCAAATTAGAATGTTCAAAGAAGTATATGGAATAATCTAAACTCTTTTCCGAGATTTTCAGTAAATCTTTAAATAAACAAATAAAAAATGAATAAATAGGTATTTAAATAACTAAGTAAAGTGAAATATCCAAAATAAATAAATTTCCTTGCCTGTTTTCATGGGCGACACATCCAGCATATTCTGACGTGTCTTGTATAGTTTGTGAATTTTGTGATTACTCTGTACACAGTAATTGTTTATCCAAATGAATTAAATAGATTTAGGTAACTTTCAGTATATGAGTGGACCGTTTGTTGTAGAGACCATGGCTGATACAGATGTCCTTCACCATCATAGTCCGGTAGGCAGTGAGAAATCCTGAAATGTTTGTTGTTCATAGTGCGAGGAAGACGACCCGAAGAGCTCGCCGCCGGAATAGCCTAGCTGTGGTGTTCGCGTGTCCGGGCATCCCCCTCGGCGACCCCCTGGCCGGCCACCGGACTAGCGGGAGTCGGGGGTGATGCTAGATCTACTTACGTTAGATTGTATACAGATATACAAAGGAACACCCTCTGACACGTGTGCGTGCGATGTGGATGCGTGCGGGTGTATGTTTCCGCGCGCATGTGCCCAAACACACACACACACACACACACACACACACACACACACACACACACACACACACACACACACACACACACACACACACACACACACACACACACACACTAAACAAGCCGTGTCAGGCCAGAGACACCATGTCACTGTAAATAGTTAATCAACCTGCTTCTCTCTTATCCTTTGTTGTAATTTGTATGGCAGTTCATTCCAGCTATTACGAATTCGAAATATCAACAATCAAAATTTATCTTTAGAATCAAAGACTATACTAGACCGCCACCGATTATTTGTATTCGACAGGTTTTGCTGTAAAACACCGGGGCAGAGAATGCGTGGGACATGCAGGTCTTTCAGTCATTTCCAAAAGGTGAATCCAAAAATAAAGCGAAAGAATAACTCATCTAGAATGTGCGGCGCATTGGCGGTTAGGGAATTCCTCCCAGGAGAACCTCATGGCCCGCCCTCGCTCTGCGTTCTTCGGGCCCGAGCTGGACCCACTAGTGTGTACCGTAGTGTAGGTGTAGCCCCTGAGTGAGTAGTCGGGGTGTACAAAGCTTGGCCTCACTCGCGTTTCCCTTCTACGTTCATAGTGGTAAACATGACCAACTGCTTGTCGAGCTTCTAATCGGGATGGCCGTTAGCTTTCTCTGTCTTGTTTATCGTGTTTATTTATTTATTTATTTACTTCTTAACGGGACCTTCCGATCGCCAAGTTAGAGGCGGTGAGTATTTTCCACCGTAAATTCAATCCAGGGTTTTCTAATCCTTAGAAAGGGTAAGCTAGAACGTCATAATAATCCTTGCGTCAGGTTACGAGCCAACGATGTGTTAGCGAGATTTGCTGTCAAGGGTTTTGTTTACTACAGAAACGTAGGTCTAGCCTTCTGAGCTGTCCACGCGCCGACCAGTGAGGGCCGGCCGAGGGCAGGACTATCTCTCACGCGTGTGCTTGTTTTCATCACTTTATGAGTGCTGTTACAACAGGTTAGCAAATTTTTTAATTTGTGCCTGTGAAGTGTGTGAATATATATACATATATTATTTTTCTTTTCACTTTCACGAAAGAAACAGTTACGATATCATGCATTTTATGTACATTAGGAGGTAGCAGGGACGACTGTTTACAGTTATCTGTTACATATGTATATGATATTAAAGGCATCAGATCATTACGTACTTTCGTTGATCGTAACAAAAGACACCTCTAAATCAACCAAAAATAAAATCAGAGTGATTGTCGAGGAAGAGAAATTAATCTTTGCCTCAGCGGAGCCCCTGAGACGGAAATAAATAATTCTATGATTGGACAGATTTTCGCCAAGCCCAGCATTCTAAACTTAACTATGCACGCGAGTCAGTGCTGATTCAGGGCGAAAGTTCGGATCAGCAAGAGATGCAGGGACAAATGAAGACCTAAAAGCTAGGCTGCGGTTCAACTGACATTCCATCCTCGAAGGCCAGCGGTGCGGGAACGATGCAGGAAGTAAGAGTCATTATACATTATCAGATTGGATGGCGGAGGCAAGAGAATATGGCTGAAGTTGAGCTTAAAGTGGAACAAATGGGTGACTTTAAAGATGGTGGAACTAAAATGAAATTGACCACACGTGCAGTATATTATATAATGCGATTCAGGTAGGATTTAGATATACAATAAATGAAAAAAAAAAAAACAAGATCAGATTTTATGAAGTATGGCCCGATTCGTTGACGCTGTCACATAAATATTCACCGAAGATATTATTTTGGGAATGTTAATTTTGCTTGATGTAGACCGACATGAGTAAATATGTTCGGATTTCAAAACGATCGTGGATATAATTTGTCGGTTATGATACGGGAAAGAACTCACAAAATGGGTTAAAATAACTCGAAGTGAACACTGCAACAGTAAGTGAATACAAGCGAGCATTTTACAGTGTCCAAGAAATCATCCGAGAAGTTAACGCTGTAGTGAAGTGACATGTTGCTATAAAGAACGGAGAACGGAGAACGGACTTGCGAAATACTATGGTCCTTCGGTGGAACGGCAGGACTGACTTGGATAGTAAAATATACGAAAGACTATTAAGATAACTTACGTCCGATTCATTTTTCATCATTGAATTTCCAATCCGCCGGTCATTAAACTGCAAATTGATATCACCCAGCAACATAAATCAGATCTTATTGCATGTTTATCGCCGGAGGAAAAAAGAGACAAAAAATCAGCTCCGAGGTCATTCCTCCGGGAGTAAAA